AATACATTAATTATTATTACTCAATCTGCTGACCCTACGTGCGGAGATCTCTTAATTGAGCTGTTATAAGTTCCAGTGCAATTATAGGACAAACGAGTACCATTTATGCTCCATTCGGAATGCAATTCTGTAACGCACTCAAATAAGGTTCATTACAAAGTGGTAAGAAAAAGAAAGCTCTAATTATGCAGAAAATTATAAATAGGAATTTAACGCTTTCGTAACGAAGGGGTGAAAAATGAACCGTAATAAGCATGTTTTATCCACAGAACACAGTAGGAGGTTAGAAGGGCCTTGTGGGCGGGGCAGACGCGTCATAGTTATGTGTGAGCAAATGCTCATAACTTAACTAAAACTTGGCTCTGATTGCGTCGTTGCTCTCGGGTTTTTTTAAGTGTGAATGCTGTTGGTCGCATATGACCTTTACAGCGTCACCGGGTTTGGGGACGGCGAGATCCTAAGGGAACCTCGAGCTGAGAATGCTCTCGGGTCTGAGCGCCGATTGGATCTATTAAGTGGAAGAGTGAAGTCACGCGGAAACGACGCTGCGGATGAGCTGGCCCGGAAGGGATCCGATACGACCCCAACAGGTCCCGAACCAATCGTCCTGATACCGGTCAGGGCTTGTTTACCGGTTAATTTTCAAACCTAAATCAGAGCCAAGTACATTAGGAGGGTTTTATTTAGGTTTGGCTCTACCTTAACCTTAAAAAAACCGGTTTTCCTATAAAGCGAAATCAAATAGGTTTTGAATCAATTAAGCGGTTTTTAAGGGTTTCATTTCGCTCTTACTGACGGCTGAAATAAATACCCAACTACGAAATGAATAACTTGACTCACTAGACGCTAGCAAACGTGACAATAAAGGCATCAATCTCTGAGCATTAACAAGTTATGACTTGATTAGTTCAAACAAAACAAACTTGCACATGTTGCTCTGGATTAAACCGCCGCTTTATTAAAGGTTTTAGGTACCACTTTCACTTCGGACGTGCTGCGAATGAAACCTTTACTAAAAACCGGTATTTACCGGTATTTTTGAAACCGGTTCAAGCCCTGATACCGGTAAGCTGTCTCGTCAGTAAAATCCGCGAGCACACAGCCCGCACTACACCAGCAACACTGGCTCGATCTGAAGACGTGCAGGCAGACCAAGCTCGCTTTGCCACGGGTGAACGCTGCCTTCTCCAAAACCTACATTGCGCATGGTAACAGGTGCTTTGCTACTGGACATGCACGTTTTAACAGACATCTTTTCAACATAGGTGTCTAGGACAGCCAGGGGGCTGCATAGGGATGCAGAGGATGCATGGAGGCAGAAGAAACAACTACTCACGTTCTGCTGGAATGCAACGGAGTGGCCGAATACCGCGCGAAATACCTCGGCTCACCGGGAAACCTTCAAGAGGCAGTCACCAACGTGAAGGCTCTGGGGGCCTTCCTGGCGCAGCTGGGCTGGCTGGAGTGATTCCGGCCATACACCCTCCTCACGCAAAACAGGCGCCATAAGGACGTCGAGTTGCGGAAACGCCCGTAGCAAGAAGAAGAAGAAGTGGAAGCCGGCGAAATCGTTTCCCGTACAAACTGTCAACGATCACTCTTCTAAACTCTATCTGTGTTCTGTGGTTTTATCCGTCCATTCCTTAACATATGAACCATATTTGACGACCTCCGTGACCGAGTGGTTTGTACGCCGGGTTTAATGGTGTCGCCGACTCGAGAGGTCCCGGGTTCGAATCCCGGTGGGGGCAGATGTTTGTGTGATGAATACGGGCATTTGTACTCCAGTCATGGATGTTTAATATGTATTTCTATATAAATATACTTATATATGTACTGTATATGTATTCTATCCGTTACCCTAGTATCCCATAACACAAGCCTTGCTTACTTTGGGGCTAGGCTAATTTGCGTGTGTTGTAAAAAAAAAAAAATTAGGTTATATTATAATACACGGGTTTTTCGACGTTTTTGGCTTAATTAGGTGTGAGTTGCACCACAGAGCTGGTTAAAGTAAAATTTTAGAATAATTAAAAAAAATATGACCTCATTTCGGCTATCGTCAATTAATTAGGACAACATCAGCAAGTCGAGACAATAATTTAGTTTAAAATACTACAGCAATTAAATAGCATCATATATTGTACTTGCCTATTTTATATTACTAGCAAACCAGTGAACCAAATGTTCACCAAAACCTGATTTAAAAAAAAATGTATTTAATTAATTGAGAACTTCGGAGATTTTGTGTGGTTTCGTTTGAAATTCGTGATTTCTCGAAAACCGGAAGTGCTACGTTACTCAAATCCGGTTTGTAGTCTTATCAGACTATTCTTAACTTATAAATTAAACATTCTCTTTATCTATCTCTTACGGTTTGGCCGCTAAAACAGCACCACAGACAGACGGACGGACGGACGGACTTGTCTAATAGATAAGAGATTATATATATGAGTGATGGGTGCGCTCCGCCATTCCCCTATGCCTTATGCACCGCCTAATGTTAGGTTACTTAAGAAAAGAAGTTTCACTTCAGATGTGTGGTCCGTGCACACTAATTTTGATACTGATGACGATTATGGTACATACCAGCACAGCCAGGTTAGGTACGACGAGCGTGGCATTCACGTCAACTGAGTTGATATAACTGAATAGTTAAAGTTAAAGTAAGTTGTTGCAACACACTAGTGTTGGGTAGGACACGACTTGAAAAAGAGTTTGTAAGAGTAGCCTCTTTTTTTTACTGAGCCAGTACAATGTCCCACTTCAAATGAGGCGAGGCGTACTGAAGCTCGGCAATACATTTGAAGTGACGAGTACAAAGATGACATTGAGGCGTACAGAAGCTCGACATTACGTTTGTGTGCACGAATAGCACCTGGAGCGTAAGTTCTGAACGCAATCCTGGGCTGCGTTCAATGCCTACGCTCTGAGTGCAACTTTTACCCTGACGTTTAAATTTTGACATCAAATGTATGAAGCTAATGTCAACTTAAATATTTGTTGCACCTAGAGCGTAGGTTTTGAACGCAACCCAGTGCGAGTGACAAGGATTAGGAAGGAGAGATAGAGATACAGATGGATAGTGCGTAGAGGACTCAAATGAAATGTCATGCCTCGCTCTCTCTCAGACTTACGAAGAGTGAGTGAGTAACGAGACGCGACTATCGCGACATTTAATGTGAAGTAGTACATTTTAAAATTTTGAGCCGCTCTTACATTTTGACGTCGTGTCCGGGACAAATGTACCGCCTCTTGTAAGTCCTACTCAACACTACAACACACGCTTAGCGTTAAATCTTGTACAATGTTATGAAACTCTTCTGCCTGTTATATTATTTGAAAAAAAAATATATGGGTGCGTGTACTTAAGTACGCGCGTGAGAAGTTATACTTCTTTTTGGAATTATTTAAAAATAGTTTTTAATTGCATGCAGATAATTAATTACAATAAGATAATAAAAGGATAGTCAACGCAGTCAATAAAGTTCAGTTTTAATTTGAAAAATTTAATAAATAATCAAAATATTCAATTTAAATCACTACTGAATAAAATTTATGAGCACATATAAATTTCGCATTTGTATAACATTATAACACGTGTTAAGAATATAGAAACGTCTAATAATGGTGGATTATTAACCACTTAGTGGTTAATAATCCACCATTAAATTTCACTCGCATAATTTTTTCATAACGCGCCCGCGGCTAACTTCATTATGTTACTTTTGTGTTACAGTGATGCGCGCGCATCTTAAAATTTCACTCTCATATTTTTTTCATAACGCGGCTAAAGAAGTATAACTTCAATAAGTTTTTAAGTCAATCACGCCAACTATCACTATTACGAAAGAAATTCCCGAAATAGAGCAGAGTGGTGTTCCATTATAAAATATACAGTCATGCCGCTTGTACGGGAAACTTACCAGTTGTTCAATTCTATGTTCTTCATTGGCTCCCAATTCAACAATTATTAAAGTTGCCGATGAAACATAGGAAAGATCGCTTGATGTCATTCGTTATAACGTCGTCCGTCTTAACCCAACTTAATGCATGTACATAAATACATTTTTAATGTGGAGTTTTGTTTATTTGAAATTCAAATTGTGCGCTGTGCTGACTCAGCACGCGTCAATGTTATAAGATTTTTGTCTTGAATCTTTGAACTTATAGACGGTACTACTTACTTGCCTACTTAATAAGTTCGGTTTTTTTTTTCTTTAAAACCCTTTTAGAACCTTTATTCTGTAAGTGTCGCCGCACACGGGCCACCGACCACAACCACAAAACGCCGCCACCGGAATATTTCTTGTAGTTTTCATACATTCTATTTAGGCTCGCCACACACGGTACGCCGGTGGCCGCCACATGCATTTGTAAATCGTCGTTGCTCGCTTCTTGTGGCCCGCACCGGCCACTTAATGCGCCGATACAAAACGCCGCCACACGTCACTCGCGCGATTCCCCACCCCTCTCTCCCTTACCTTAGTCGGCCGCTGTCGCGCGCTTCAGCCACTTTAGAAGCCGCTTCTAGCTTCTCGTGGCGGCGTTTGTGGCTGTGGGGTGTGGCACGGGCCACACCGTGTGGCCCGTGTGCGGCGACACTAAGATGAAATCTCACTTACGATCTTATTCAGATTTCTGACAAATGTCAAATACCTAATACTGTTTGCTTCTACAGACTTAACGACATTTTGCCGTGTAATGGCTTAATGCATATCAAACTATTGTCTGAAATGGCAGCTACCGAAATGGCAAGTGAGATTTTATTTAACAGAATCGTCCCACATCTGTGGGAGTTGCTCATACCTATGAGGATTTTATTTTATAAATTTAACAATTGTGTTGAAACAAAAATTTTGTGTATGAGCACCTTATAAAAAAATTCAATACCAGAAAAGAAGAAGGAATAGGTTCTTCATTTGAAGGTTTCAAGTCGCATCTGGCGAGAAAGACACAAATGTGACACACACATAAAAAAAGAATAAAAAAAAACTCACCTAGCATTTTACTCAGATCAGCATTGTGAAGATCAGGATTCTCATCAGCCAATTTCTTCCGCTCCACTTTCGCCCAGACCATGAAGGCGTTCATGGGTCTACGTATCCTGGCTTCCTTGAGCGCTTTAGCCTGCCCCATCTTCGTGGTAAAAGGCGCTCTAGCGTACTGCTGATTCGAATAATCTCTGGACGTTTCATATGGGCTTCTGTAATCATACTGGGCTCTGTAGTCTAAGCCGTAGGGTAAGGTTGACCAGACGACCAAGTCTGGGCTTGTCTGGTCTTGGACTGAGTCTGCGCTGTTCTCCACGCCTCCTTGGACGTATTGCTCGTAGCTGCGGTGGTAGGTTGGGGGTGATTCGGCGATGCCTGCCCCTCCTGAGTCCATCATGCTGCGAAGAAGAAAAGACAAATTAATAAACGGAAAGGTTCAATGGAAATCAAATCTCTAAAAGTTTGAAACGTTCTAAGCTTTTTGGAAGCTGACGGGTATTAATACTTTAGTTATCCTCTGCTATCCATGCAGATGCACTGACCATTACGCTACCGCGGCCCTAATTGTCCGTGTCTAATTTGCTCTAGTATTTCTTTGGCGGCAAGGCAGCGCCATCTCTTCTCATTGTAGGTTTAACTACTTTAACTTGGTGGCGAGTCACAATATAAATCTTTTAAGTCGCAATGACTACAGTTCCATTATGACTGCATAGCCCAAAAATTTTAAATAATTATAATAGCTCGCGTAGTCTATCCTTATAGACTTCTTATTAACATCCTTTGTTTAGCGACTTTTGGAAAAGATCTTTCGAGTTTAGCTCTATAATCTCGAGTTCTGCTGCACATTCAAAGACACGCTAATCCGTTTTGTAATTCTCAAAAAAAAACATATTTTTTTATTCATGCGGAAACGCCGTGTATAGCAAGCACATGGCGTTTCCGCGTTGATAGAAAATTTATGACAAATGATATTTTAAGCATATTGTAAAGACAGGTAGACTCTTTTGAATATAATGAAATGGAATTTTGAAATGAAATTTCCTACAATTTGGCTATCAAATGCAAAGAGCTTGCTGAGAATAACTCGAAAAATACAGTGACGTCTTCTTAAATCCAATATGGCGGACTTGAAAAGATGGCAGACTGAGTTTTTTATACTTTTCTTCAATATGGGTATCAAATGAAAATCCTTCTGAGAATATGAGGGTTTTAAAATCTTCGATTATATCCAGCGATAACTAAATGGTAAAAAATAAATTAAAAATAAAAAATCTTTTTGCAAACAAGCTATTATTTAAATGTGCTAATAATAATAAAATAAAAATTTCCTTTAAGACTTTTACTATCAACTTATTACACAATTTATAAAATATAAAAGCTTGTCGCGCGATTTTCCTGTTAGCCACACGCTTGTTTGCCGAACATAAAACAAAAACAAAGAAAGTTACGCGGTACTAAAGTCAATGGGACTGAAGTCACAAGCGCTGAGACCTAAGAGTAAAAAAAAATCAACGTCCTTTAACACAATTCGCCAACCCTGATCTCATTCCCGATAGACTGCCCACTCTACCGACACGTGTCAATGAACATTGTCATTACGCTCAACTATAGAACTGCCATAGTTGATGGAATTTGCAAAATCATAAACCGCGGTGTCAGACACCAACACTTAGCGCTAACTCCTCGCGTCTCAGGAAACAGTGTAAAACGAGCCTGGCTAATTGGCATGATAACGGGTAAACGGTATATCGTAAAAACGATAGCTGATCGACTGACAGCCCACGTCTCGTTGGTCTGTCGTTATGCTCTATTCCTTAACATAGTGATAGTCATAGGTCAGTTTGTGCGTGCGCTCGAATTTCTATTGAAAATTGAAGCTTTGCTATCGGCTGTTATGGTGTTGCCACAGACCTAGATTGAAGTACACGCTGTATGTACTTCAAATTGTATGACATCAGAGCATGTCAGATTTTGAGTACTTACAAGAACAATTTAAGTGGTGTGGAAAAAACTGGGCCCCCGTCACCTATTTCAATCATATATTTATTACACTTTAACTAGCTGACCCAGCGAACTTCGTACCGCCATAAAAATAGGGGCAGGTGGTAAAAGAGAAAATTTAGAGTTGTATGTATTTTTCAATACCACATTATAAGAAAATAAATATTGTCCAAAACAAATTTTAGGGTTGTGTAACGTAGTGTTCTATCAATTTCCTGGGATAACATTCCTCCTAACCCATATGAGAACACTACGTTACAATACCCAATAATTTGAATTTTGGCGCGGAGGCGCATTGTAGGATTCAGAACACTACGTTACAGGTGGACAACCAATACCACTTATGGATATGAAAAATAGATAGTAGCCGATTCTCAGACCCACGGCATATAATATGCATATAAAATTTCATAAGAATCGGCCAGGCCGTTTCGGAGGAGTATGGTAACTAACATTGTGACACGAGAATTTTGTACATAAGATATGTCATAGTTAGATATTTTTTAAACATTACGATTGACGAACGCTATCGAAACGGTGACGCGAGGAAATAAATAAGTGTAAAAGGATGATCATGGACTGCCAGACCTTTAAAGAGGTCCAATGGGCACTTTCTCCCCCTCGTCTGTGTAAGCAAAATGGCCGCCAAAACCCTCTGTTATAATTCGAGTTCTACTGAACCTATTGCCTTCATTTTATGTCTTAAATCAATCTTAAATATTTTCTATATTACGTGGCAGAAAACCGCCACTTCCACAGACAGTGGTTTTTTGACGTTGGCAGAAAGCATCCATTCAAACAGACCAGGGGTTCTAAGCTTTTAAAGATGACAAATGAAATGCTTAAATACGTTCCAGTGGGTACAGTTGCAGTAAGGCTTAATCTTGAAGGTCAGGTAGGCACCAAAAAAGAGGTCCAATAGGCACATTGATTATAAAATTTTTGTATGAACATAAATTGGACTGCTACAAAGACATAGTCATAGGCTACTTCTATCGTGATTCTAGGAGGTGATATGGAGGATTTTAATATGGTTTGTAATCAAATTATTCGATGTGGATGTCACCGGCTTCTAGTTCTTTATACATAAACTCGATATAAGACCTCCGTGGCTGAGCGGTTTGTACGCCGGGTTTCATGGTTTCGCCGACTCGAGAGGTCTCGAATCCCGGTGGTGGCAGATGTTTGTGAGATGTATACGAGCATTTGTACTCCAGTCATGGATGTTTATTATGTATTTTTATATAGATATACTTATATGTGTACAGTACATGTATTCTATCCGTTACCCTAGTATCCCATAACACAAGCCTGCAGTGCTACTTTGGGGCTAGGCCAATTGGTGTGAGTGTTGGAAATATTTATTTATTTTATTTATACACATATAGATATTAAACATTCAATAATTATTTATGATTTTCACAATAACCTAGCTACTTACTGGACGTCACACATTCACTTTAGTTTATTTCATCAGTATCAATTTCAGATTTCCCCAAAGTACTTAATACCCGCTAATTCCCACCTGAATCCTTCCATCCGATACCGGCAGTCCGTAATCCAATCAGATACTGAGACATGACTAAGTCCGAAATTAATGGAAAGCGCGCTCGAATGTCTCGTTCTGCGAAAGTCTGCGATCACAGCGCCACTATGTGGGAACGCATTGTCGACGCGATTTCACCCGATACGTCTCCACCTTTATTGTGTCACAGTGCGGTGATAAACAGTAGGTAGTATAGCAAACAGTAAATAATAATAATAATAAACTGTTTATTGCCTCCAAATTATGATACACTTATATAGAAAAAACAAAATTGCAAGTATGTATCTTAAAATCTGTAAAGGAACGTAGTCTTTTGATTTAACAATTAAATACGTGTATGCTTCAATATCTTTTCGATATAACTAGGAATTAGACATATTCTTAAAAACTACAGGACATGTGTTTAATCTTAAAATGATTTCTTTGATTCTGTTCGACTTTGTCTTAATAGTGAAACAACTGGTTTGTTTTTTGTAGAAGTTAAATCTTAAACTGCTACCATCATTGCTAAAAGTACTGTTCAATTTGACAGCTTCAGGTGTATTATTTAAATAGAAAAAATAAATTGAGGCTTTATTTTCACTTATAAGAGCAACTAATGTGCAAAAGTTATAAATTTAAACGTCACCAAACTAATCATTCATATCATAACCGATTTGCAAATATCATGAACCCATGTTCGTCCACTGCTGGACATTTGCAAATATGGTTCATCGTAATTAAGTTACGACTGTAAATAAATAAAAATATTTTTCTATAATAATATAATGAATAGGGCAATAAAATGGGAGCTTACACGATCCTGCAATTTTATTATTCTGATTTAAATTATTCTTAAAGCAAATTATCAGGAAAATAATTATTGTAATTATAATATAGCAAACGAATTATATAAAAACCCTATAAAATGATTTATATACGTCGAATCTACCTACTGTTTTAGTTATCAACTGTGGTAACACAGTTCACGGACTCAATGTCTCCACATAATTTAGCATTTTTTGTTCGCAATAATGCATGTAAATCGATGATAACTGTGTATGCAACTTTTTGTCATCACTTTGTAGGAATAAAACTATGATATCTATCGTCACGGATAAATTGGTTTCAGATAAGTGGTATTAGTGACCCAATAATATTGAAAAATCTATATATATATATATATATATATAAAACTCAAAGGTGACTGACTGACTGACATAGTGATCTATCAACGCACAGCCCAAACCACTAGACGGATCGGGCTGAAATTTGGCATGCAGGTAGATGTTATGACGTAGGCATCCGCTAAGAAAGGATTTTCATCAATTCTACCCCCAAGGGGATAAAATAGGGAATGAAAGTTTGTATGAAACTTTGTCAATTTTAAACCGATCGGGTTGAGACTTTGCATGCAGGAATAAGAAGAATCATAGATAAATTTCCGCTAGTCTTTAAAAAAGTTCAATGTTACTTTTTCAAACGCAAAAGTCGCTTTACTTTATCTAGCAAGAGGTTATTGGATAAAGGATAGGATATTCTACTCGATTTGGTGCTCGTAATCTCTCCACCTTACAGAAGATCAACGTGAAATTTGACACTACCTTTTGTTGGTGTGTTTCTGTCGGTGATTAAGGTTCCAGGGCTCCACAAGTTAAAGAATTAGGCTCTCTACTCGTGCGGCTTTTAAAGACCTTACAGCGGTTGGAATAAGAGTGGAAATGGCTTGTTTTGTATTAACACTCTGTGGTCTGTCGTTAGATATCCATATATGGATCTGTCATACTGGGAGACCGTCTCGGGAGCATTTAGATCTGCGCGTGATTATTGATTAACCAAATGTTTAATGTCCGCGATTTTCATTAGAATGTT